GGTTGGTGTTAAAAGGTGCCTGGGTGGGAAACGGTATTTCCCTTAGAGCGCTACGAGTAGGTAATTTCCCTGGCTTGTCCCAGGGATGGGTCAGCACCGTCAGCAATATTAGGGCCTCATCGATTTTCAACACGTCACTCAACCCATCAATAACCCAGTAGCCGACGAAAATTTGCACTGCTAAGGTCCTTCGGAGCCATGCACGTGTCGCCTAAGCCTTCTTGGCAGCCAATCGTTCGTGCACGGTGAGTTTACAAAAGGAGAGGAAGAGTGGCGGCAGCCCCGTGCTTACCACGAGGGCCATTACGAAGCCCCGGGCAAACAAAATTGTTGCCCCAGTAAGTTGTGGCCGTCTTTCAGTTCTCAGTCGAGATAAGGATGCGAAAGGCCTGACGCAGTTCACTTTAGGATGGGCGCCCCTCGGGGACTGACGTGTCTGGCGCTACTCGTCGCGGTGCTGCTGGTCCCAACTAGAGCGCTGCCTGCGACCTGCGACTCCTGGAACAACGCCATGACCGTGGACACCGAGGCGCGTTTCATCTACAACTTGCTCGAACCGGCCCTGCTGCGCACCGGGCCGTTCCCTCCTCAACTGGTCGTCATGGGAACGCCGCGGTGGCTGGACGCATTCCTGGGGCTGCAGGACGCAGCGTCCGTGCTGCTGAGGCCGAGGCCAACGGGGCCCTGGCCGTCCCGGCAGATCCTTGCTGTCCTGTCGGAGCCAAGTGCAATCCTTGTTGTCGCAGAAAACAAGGCGTCAGACCTGGTCGCAGTTATGAAGGACATGAATCAACCAATTCCCAGCCGGACGTTGCTCTGGACGGAACACGTAGAAGCCTCGACACAGAAAAATCTTGACGAAATCGCAGATAGCTCCTATTGGTTAAAGTTCATGAGGGTTATGCTCATTGCAGGAGACTCCACTTACGGTTCAAGCTTGTTCTCTTACAAATTCGTGTCTCAGAATTCCGACGGTGCATTCCTTTCTATTGAAAGATTTTGGGTACTTGACCATGCTGCATTCTACGCGCCATGCTACTTCCTGGGCAACGCTTCGAAAAACAGCACCCTGTTCTACAATTTTAAGGAACACAACATTTTTACATCTATGATAAGAAGATTCAGTAAGACCGTTGTTCGGAACGGTACGATCCACGTTGAAAACAATACGGGGACTTGGCTTGAAACTGCATCGTCTTGCGCTTTTGACATTATGAACACGGCCACCCCGATGCGGATAACGACTTCGGTTCCTTTCGATTCCTTCGCGTGGGGCATGGACAGCATGGTGGTGCTGGTGCCCGCCGGGATGGGCAAGGGCAGCTGCCTCACCGACAGCGTCACCAGGGAATTCTCTCCATTACTCTGGGTCACCACGGCGTTGGCCCTCCTAGTTGTTGCCACCGGGTTTCTTCTCCTAAGAGGACGCTCCACGGCCTTCCTGGGCGCCCTGGCCCCTCTCGTGGCGCAGGCTGGGTCGCTAGTGGACGGCGACGGGCGCCGCCCGTTGCTGGGCAGTTGGCTGCTTGTCTGCGTCGTCCTTTCGTCGGCATACACTGGTAAACTCCTGTCCGAGCTCTTTGCCAAATGCGCCTCTAGTGAGATCCAAAGTCTGGAAGAACTAGCTGAAACTAATCTCACCGTGTACGTCGATTCCGGAGTAGTATTGAGTAGCGACCTACCCGGCATGGCACTCAAAACACTACACTATGAGACAACGCAAGAGCACTTGGACGCCGTGGTGAACCGAACTGCCGCCATCGCAGTGACAGAGACTTCTCTCCCGTTTCTGCAGCTAGGTAATCTGAAAGGCACGCACAAGTTAAACACACCTGCACAGTTCATCACCGGCCTCTTCGTGGGCAAGAAGGGGTCACCAGTCGCTAAAGCTTTTGCGACAACTTTGGGTCGATTTTACTCGGCTGGTCTCGGCCCCTCGACAGTGAACCGGTTCGAGGACGTGAGGGACACCCGCCAGTACGTCGTCGAGAGAGAGGCGGCCTACCAGGCACCCAGCGCCACTCCGCTGACCATGGCCCAGCTCAAGGTGTGCTTCGTGCTGCTGGCCGGCGGCCTCCTCGCCGCTACGGTGGTCTTCACCGGGGAGCTTCTAGTGTCCCGGATGCAGAGGCGCCGCCACTGCGCCGCCTCTCGGTTGCAGCGAGCCACCGAAGAATTAAGCTTAGGGAAGTATCTGAATTCTGTCAAACCAAGTGTGGAGAACTCTACACCTTTGGTGCGGAGGTATTCTCTACACCTGGGGCGTGTGGAGTTTGAGTATCACGAATAGCCCACCAGCCAGGCTGGGGTTAACCGTTACGCACCCTAGGCTCCGACTTTGCGTGCTTCCAGATTTTTGTCTGGAAGTTTAGTCCGACTTTCGATCAGTCAGAAGTTCTTGCGTAGCCACTGACTTCAGAATTATCAAAGCAAAAATGTAACTCAGTTAAGACTAAGTCAGTTAGTAATAGTTTACAGTACGTTCACAACGTTGGTTTCGATTTGTTCCCACGTCACCGTTTGTTTGTTTTTGCCCAATTCATATCTTACACGAGTTTTGAAGTATATATATGCTAGTTTTAGATCACTTTAGAAGTTCTAACAAAAGTCTTTGTTTTGAATAAAATTGACAAGGCACTCATTTCGTAACATAGTCCACTTAGTTCTGTTTCGTAATCAATGCACCGGTCACCTTTCACGGTATTTGTTTGCACACTAGCGTTGGTTTTTTATTGCACGCTTAAAACTTTACGAAGTATTCTGAGCATAAGGTACAAACTATTGAGTTTGTCATGCGAAAAAATAGTTCATAAATTACGAAGTTTGTAAGCTTAAATATGCACAAAATACTTTGTTATAACAAGCTACTACCTTGTAAGGCTCAAAATAGTTTGTAAGGTTTCCAGAGTGTGGAATAATTCGTCGTATTTACGTAGAAAATACTAGAGACTGGCACATGAAGTTCACACAAAACTTGTGTTTTCCTAAGCCCAGGAACTGTTTTCCGAAAAGCCTCTTCGGGATTCCCACTGCACCACAGTCCTATGATGAATAAACTGCGACGCCGAAAACTGTTACTTCTGGGATGTGACAACGAAATGAATCAGTGTTCTTCTGCACGTTTGTGCTCACTCATACGAATTGAATTCACTCATGAAATGCAACGTGTGATTTTTCCAACGAGAATAAAATCAAATTGTTTATCTTGTTTTGAATGTTCATGGCGCAATTACCTCGGCGCTTTTTCTATCTGACAATTTTAAAGTGTGCAGCCAAACCACAATTGATCCAAACTTCGCGTCTACCAAAATTCGACCGCCTGGCTTCACTGGCTGGCCGAAGCCGGGCACAGGGATGGGCCGACCTTTCACTTGGACTGGCCAGCAGACTGCAGAGTCGGTCTCGTCTCTCTCGCACACATGGGGCGTCCCCTATAGATGTGAGAGACGAAAAAGACTCGGAATCAGTCTGAAGGTTCGCGAGGCAGTCGAGCTTGCAGGCCGCGTCGAGCACGGCTTGGCCAACAACGCCCCATGGCGTACGGCGGTACGGCCCCTGTCCCACCTGTTCCCACATTGTGGACCGGACGGCCTCGGCGCAGCTAGCACTACAACCAGAGAGCCGCAGCCTCGGCAGATGCTAGCACTGCGTCTAGAGGGCCTCGGCAGACGTTAGCACTACATCTAGGACGCCACAGCTCGAACGACAGAGCTGAGCATTAGGGCTAGAGAATCCTCGACAGACGCAAGCACTAGAACTAGAAAGTCCTTGGCATACGCTAGCACAAGACAGTCCCCGACGGCCGATCTTGGATGCGCAGCGCGTCTGGCGCGAGACAGTCGAAATTACTGTAATTTACTACTATGGAGTTTATGAGCTCCTACCCCCGCGACTCACCAGGACGGATTTTCAGTGGCTTCGATCCAGCACGGCCCGCACGGAAGCAACAACCCCAGGGAATGTTCCGAAGATGTGCCCCCCCCCCCTTCCTTTCCCCCGGAGCGGCGGCGGTGCGGTCGACGCGCGGACGCAGACACTCACGAGTACACGTGTACCTGTAACCTGCCTCGCCGGCCCGCGTCACAACAAACCCGGTCCGTGTGTGTGTGTGTATGTATGTGTATATGTGTGTGTGTGTGTGTGTGTGTGTGTGTGTGTGTGTGTGTGTGTGTGTGTGTGTGTGTGTGATGGGTGCGGGAGGTGCGGTCCCGGCCTCGGCGTGCCTCGAGGTGGCGTCCGTGTGTCCGTTCGTCCGCCCGTCCCATAAGAGTCCCACGACCTTCGGCAAGCCCAGCGTGGCCCAGCGTGGCCCAGCGTGGCGGGCGGCCCCTCTCCTACCGCCTCCTCTTGGCCAAGCGCCCGCGGCCAGCCAGCCTGCCCATAGGCCCCCTTCCGCCCCATCAGGTGGTGACGCGCCGCCGCCAGCCAGCCAAAATCGGCCGCGGCGCCGCGCCTTGGCGGGGAATCGAACCCACGGCCGGCGCAGCGGCATTTCGTCAGGCCGAGCAGCGCGCACTCGTCTCGTCGCGGCATGTGCGTCCGAAAAGGCTGTCCACTGTCGCAGACTGCCGCTGGAGACATTCCAGTGGCGATCTTGTTTCCGCGTTGTTCCAGACCGCCCGCAGTTCGGCTCGGAGTCGTTTCCGCCCGTCACTCTGTCTCTCTCGCACTCGTGGGCGCCCCGTGTGGGAGCGAGAGAGACCGAGCGGCGAGGAAAGTCTCTCGGAGTCGGTCTGCAGGCCGCGGGCCGTGGGACCCGGAAGGACTGGAGCGGCTGGAGCGGCAGGTCGGCTGGACCATCGCCACTTCCCGACCAAGTCCAGCCGCTCCAGCCGCTCCGTGGACCGCGCTCACCGACCGGCAGTGGCGATTTCGATCGGGCCTCGCCAAGCGCCACCACTCTGCGGCGGGGGACACGGGGGACCCCCTCCCCTTTCACACCCGCGATGGTAGGGTTGCCAACAAACAACGACAAGAAAACATGATGTCGCGCGACTTACTGGGGATGGGACTCGAGCGCCGCTTATCTGAAAGCAGAGAAGAAGAATCGTTTAGGACTGTACCGACATTGCTCGGCGCGGCTCGGCGTGCGAAACACACACAAACACACAGCGCGGCGTCGCCGCAGCATTGTTCTCCAAGAGGAAGGGGTCACTCATTGTCCTTCAGCGAGTTTGATTGAGGCTGCGGTGTGTGCCTTGCCGCTTCATCAGTCGCAGCGGCCAGGCCGGCGAGTCCCACACCTGTGAGTACACTCCCAATTCTCTGCTGAGGAATGCCGCGCAGTCACAAAGCCATCATAATAATGTGAAATTTCCTCGAAGAAACAGGTCATAAGTTACTGAAAACCCTTCATTCACTACCTTGGTTGCGCTGTTATAATACTACGATTTTTGTTCGTATTACGAAGAACTCTGTAGGGTCACGAGGCGCACTTCACCAGCATAAGATCCATTATCAACTCGACTGAACTCGCCTTGGTTTTCGTTAGGCACATAACACACTAGTCTAGCACCGCGTGAAGTCGTCGTCAGACAAAGCGACTAAAACTGCACACGTGATCTGAATGAGGCATTTTGCGCGTGCACGAGTACACAGCTCCGGCACACCTGTTGTTGCCTCGCAGGGAGTGGCGGTATTCCACGAAGCAGATGACGGACGCACGCTCCAGAAATACTCCAGCAGTGCTCCAGCAGTGCGACACAAGTCGGCCGGATGAACGTCACACGCTGCTATCTGGCGAGAGAGAGAGAGAGGAGGGGAGGGAGGGAGGGAGGGAGGGAGGGGGAGGGAGGGAGGGAGGGAGGGGGAGGAGAGAGAGAGAGAGAGAGAGAGAGAGAGAGAGAGAGAGAGAGAGAGAGAGAGAGAGAGAGAGAGAGAGAGAGAGAGACAGAGAGAGCACCATTTTCCGTCCGAAAGAACGCCCTTCCGGCCGCGGCCCGGTCCGCGCTACGCTGCGTCGCGTCGCGTGCACAGCCGGTACAGCCAAAACGAGAAAGGGAAAAGATGCGGCTTCACGCTTCGGTTGCGGAGTCGGAGGATGGCATTGAAGAGCCGTGGCCATTGTCTGTGACGACACTGTTTAGTGTGTGATCAGTGGGCAGTGGCGTGCACATGAGACCTCATCAAGTGCTCACTTTGGTGCTTGACAGCAAAGTCGGCCAACGAGGAAGCTCGACACTACTCTGGAGGTGGCGGGCTGCGCAAACTGTAAAGTACCGTCATAGGGGCTCGGCGTGGAAGGAGTGAGGGGGAGGGGGCCCTTTCCTCGCTCCCTTGCCTCAAGCTGCCAATATCACACTTGCCCCGTGGAAATTGGCAATTATTATCGGTTTACTTGCCCCCATCCCTCTGACTTGCTTCCCCAAGGCCATTTCTGGATCCGTCACTCGGCAGAGACGTGAACAGCGTTACTGTACTTCATCTGAAAGTTCCCAGTTGCAAACCGTCAGCGCCGTGAGGCCAGACAGCTTCCACGAAACGCCGACACCGGCGACAACAACCCGGTAGCAGCAATAACAAGCTGGAAATATCAGCATTCATTCATTCATTCATTCATTCATTCATTCAACCAGTCTTGCATTCAACCAGTCATTCATTCAAACAGTCATTTATTCAACCAGTCATTCATTCAACCAGTCATTCATTCATTCATTCATTCATTCAACCAGTCATTCATTCATTCATTCAACCAGTCATTCATTCATGCATTCAACCATGCATTCATTCATGCATTCATTCATGCATTCATTCATGCATTCATTCATTCATTCATTCATTCATTCATTCATTCATTCATTCATTCATTCATTCATTCCAGTCGGCTTTTCCGGTCGGCTTTTCCGGTCCACGGGGTTGCGCGTCGCAAACAGCCCGCCGCGAGGGCAGCGCGAGGGCGCCAGAAAGGGGCGCCAGAAAGGGGCGCCGCGAAGAACAAAGAGGAGAAGGAAGAGGCGCCACCGGAATGCTCCAGCCCTCTACAGTGTAGCGGTGGCGCCGCGATGGCATAGCGTCTAGCGGGGGCTCCGGAAGGCAGCCGAGCCAGCCCTGCGAAGGGGCCGTGCCGAGCCGCAACAGGTGCCAATGCACTTTGGCACCTGCAGCGGGCATGGCGGGCATAGCGTGCACAGCGTGCTCATTCATCAGACCAAAAGGGCTGCCGGGGTCTCCATTTTGATGTTTATGTTGTTGTTTCGATTTCTTTCTGAGATGCGGAAAGGCACTGTATGCAACACAGTCCTGCCCGCGGTTTATAGGCTGCGTTTTCAAATTGTCACACTCGACAGGTGGTAAATCTTTACTACTGCACAGCAGAATGGATTCCGAGGGTCGTTTTCGTCGCTGTCTCTCTCAAACCCATACGCGACGCCGCGCGAGTGCGAGAGAGACGGAGCGACGAAAACGACTCTCGGAATGAGGCTGGTGTAAATCAAGGCGCCGGCGCGGTCAGAGCAAGCAACAGTTAAATAAAAGGTATCCAACAACTATCGGTCGTTGTGGCGAAACACACGCACGGTGCCGATGCCTCCGATACAGGTTGGCCTGGCCCTGCCCGGCTACGCCCGGCTTGCCCCACAGGCCAGCCCAAAGGCTAGCCTGCCAGCGGGGCTTCGGCACACTGTCAAAAATAGCTGTCATTTATATAATACACCAGGATAACGTTTCCGGCGCATGAAAATAATGCCTTGGCATCACTTGAGAAAATGGTGACATCACTAATCGATGGAACGTCCACCAAAACGCCTTAATCATAGCATGTTTGTGACAACAATGTCAGTCAATGACACTGTCATAAGGAAAATAGCCCTGAAATGGTCGTCAATCGACATTTGTAACTTCCAAAAAGGGACATTGTGGGCGCCACCAGGTCGGCCACGGCCCGCGGGACAACTGCTGGACTGATTCGGCACAGGCAGCTTTCTCTGTCTCTCTCGCACCCAGAAGAACCGACGCCGCATGGAGTGTGTGCGAAAGAGAGAGAGCGAGCAGGCAGCACAGTTCGGACTCGGCCTGGCGTACCTGCCGTGCCTCGCTGTACCAGGTTGGCGGCGGGCCTAACCGAGCAGGCCGCCTGGCCGCCAGGCCGCCAACGATACGGCCAGCTGATCGTATTATGTTATGGAAATGAACCGCCACGCCACGCCACGCCACGCCACGCCACGCCACGCCACACCACGCCACGCCACGCCACACCACGCCACACCACGCCACGCCACGCCACACCACGCCACGCCACACCACGCCACGCCACGCCGCGCCACGCCGCCAATAGACGCGTTCTACTGGACAAACAAGAATAACAAAATAGTACGTACTGCCTGGTTGGCATCCAAACTAAATACCGTGACGAATCAACTGCTAGTTCTAGTGATTTTGACGAGCGCATTTTCACAGGGCGGAACTTCTAAATTTCTACCTGTGGCTTACAGTTTCCCTTGCAGGAAAATATCTCATTGTAAATTCGTGACAAAAGCTGGAGGTTTGTTGCGCGCAGCCCTCGAAGGCCGTAACTCATTCTGCTCACGTGACCGAACAAGTCTTTTTTTTCGCTTCTTTTTTTCCGTGCCCTGAACCATTAACGGCGGTACCTGGGTACCGGTTACGAGCGTTAAATCACGCCGTCGGGCCGCCGGGCCGTCAGCAGGACAGCGCGTGGAAGAGTTCAAGCAGCCGGACACGGAGGGGCAACCATGCACTCCGGACAGACTCAACTCCATGCCGCCGAGTCTGACGCGTCTACATTGCGCGACAGGGTAATAGACGTATAGAAGTCGGGTCACTGGTTTTGAGAGTGCGCAACCCCTCGGTGGTCTCAGCGGGCACAGCGGGGCACCCACTGTCGTTGCGCTCCGCCTTGCCAGCGCGGCCAGCGCCGCCAGACCACCCGCCGACCTTTGAGACGGCGCCGCTGGACTGCCATGCTCGCTGCCATCGGAGGGAGGGCTGCATGTGCAACCAGTGTGCAACCAGGGGACAATGCTCCGCGGGGCGGGCCAGCCAAATGCCAAGGCGGCAAGCAGCCAGCGCCAAAACCAACTCCGCGACGACGAGATGAACAGAACAAAGTCTCTAAAAGCCGTCGGGTGTCGAACCCCGGTCCTCTGGCACGACGCCGGGCGCCGCCGGGCGCCGCCCAGGCCGGGAATAACCTGCAGCAGGCGTAAATGCACGAGGTGTCCCTGTCTCTCTCGCACCCGTGGCGCGTCCCGAAGGGGTGCGAGAGAGACAGAGCGACGTTCGGAGCCAAACGCGACGCGTGCGCCTGGCCCTCGGCCCGGCCGGCCGCTTTCCCCGCGCGCGAGTGAGAGGGGGGTGGCGGGGAAAGAGAGAGAGAGACAGAGACGGCACAGGGCGACATGCACATCATGACATCCTGCGCGCCGCGAAAGGACGCTGTTCGTTTCTTTTGGCGCCTCGCTTTTGTTGGAGGCGAGTCAAGTCGGCCGCCGCCACTTCTCCATTTCTCCGCGACGACGCACACACTGTGAAAATTTGAGTCGTCACTTGATGACAATGTCAAGGTTAATTTTCCATAACAAAACAATGTTGTTGTCACGCCCATGGAATAAGTATAAGATGAAATTGTCATCAATTTGTGATGAGATTGTCATCGTTTGAAAGTGGTGAAAATATCATCCACGTTTGTGTCATTTAGTGACAACAAATTTTCACAGCGCAGTGGGCCAGAAGACCGGTGGAGGCAGCCAAAATTCTAGACGCGTTTGGAGCTATGTCACTGGGACCCGAACCGGACGTGTGACCCCACCAACGGATTGCTCTCCGAACGAGGAATCCATTGGTGGGGTCACACTTTTGGTTCGAGTCTCATTTTTGGTTCGAGTCTCATTTAGCGACTCTGGGGCTCAAAACGCGTCTAGAACTTTGGGCGCCTCCACCGGTCTTCTGGCCCACCGTGCGGTGCCGAGGAGGCGCACGGCCATTGGGTTCGGCGTCGCTTAGAGTGCCACGGCAGCCTTGGCGGTGCATGGCGGCCCCAGCGAGGTTGCGGGGCTCCATTTGGCCGGCC